TTTTTGCATGAATGATTCAGCTTGATCCTTGTGACGTCATTTCTTCTCTGGTTTTTGCACATACATTCCCTTAATAGGGTCATAACGGAGTTTGTTTGGTCAAATGAGATCATCGATAATAATCTTCAGAGATATGCATTAGCGTAGTTGGTAAAACACCAAGTGTTTCTCTCCGAGTTGTATTATAAGGTTAGTCTTACGAAAATGGCATCAAGTGTCTCACATCAAAAGTTTCTAGCCATATTGCATAGAACTACTTAATTCTGTTCAAGGCAAGGGTTTAATATTTTGATACAACAATGGAATTCAATCGTTGATCAAGTGGGATTTTTTCAAGGGTGTAGTTTAACACAGCAATTTTGAGTAATTCAAGGATATGAGTCACAAAATACAGAGATAACGTTTGCGAATTATATGTTTTCATCCTTCAATGTTTCACTCTTTGGTAATTACTCAAGGGGTCGTTGTCTTAGGAAATAGTCATTTTGACTTTGCGTCTCAGATTTGAACGTGTTTTAGGACAACGAATCTAACTGTTCAAGAGTCTCAATACGTTGTACCGTCAGTAGACTATAGTATTAGCGAGTACGTTCTCGTCTGCAGGTAATTTGAATCCATTTTACTGTACGTATTTTGGCTGGTGATAATTACTTTTCCATCAATTGCCCGGTTTTAGAGACTATATATATCACGATTATGGAAAAAGTATCTCACATTCTCACAATATGGAAGGAATTTCTCAAACACTTCCTTACACCATAAGATTTGTTGGTCTACTTGGCAGTCATTCTCTTGGTAAAAATCCAAAGTTTATGGCTACGGCGGTAGATTTAGGAAGGGAATTGTTAAGACGAAAAATTAAACTTGCCTATGGGGGAGGTAGTGTTGGCCTTCAAGGAGCTGTTGCTTCAATAGTCTTTACTAATGGTGGTCTCGTTAGAGGTTTCATTCCTGGGTACATAGCAACACGACGGGTGTATGGACCTACGTACGGTGTAGAGCACACAGTTTCCAGCAATTACTACAAATATTTTGAGATGAATCATGCCGTGGAAGCTTTCATTGTAACGCCCCAAAATATACCCTAAAATTTATTGAATTAAATATTCAATTAAACAAAATTTGTTTTGATTAAAATAAATTTTTTTTGGGCTTTGGGCCAAAATAAAATATATATTGATATCCAATAAACATAATTGGGATAAATCTCATAGAGATAAATCCAACATGTTGATTTATTGTGTGATCTTGATTGGGAACCTGAGTACAGACCCAAATTAAGAATAAATGAAGAAATTCTTTATAATGTGAACTTTGAAATGATTTATTGAAATAAATCATGGAAATAAATAATATGAATTAAATGTGAGAACCTTTTTGAATAAAGGTCAATTAAACCAATTTTGTATCTGTCAAAGTCAACCACCAAAAATATGATGTCGGAAAAAGTATAACGAATAAATATAAAAATTATATCGTTAGATAGAGTTTAACTGTCTGATCGCAACGGTGCAATCGGATTTCAATTCGGAGAATGTTGGACCAAAAAGTGTTCCCCGACTGGGACCAAATTAGTCCCAATCAGGGACTTGCTTCTGGGAATCCTAGCAATCGCTGCTCCCTCCACTGAGACGCGAGAATAGGGAAACGGATGTCACCAAACCTGTGTCTTCTTCCTCTCCTCTCCACTATATATATCTATCTAAACATACCATTTTTCACCATTCTTCTTCCAATAAATAGCTGAGAGTGTAGAGAATGAAGTAGTGCTGTCAAGAGAGCTTCCCATCGCCGAAGATAGCCACAATCCTCGCCGGAAGTTTCGCCGGAAAATCTTCAAAACCTCCATTACACTTCGAGGTAAGCCCGTAGATATATCTAGTGATTAGAATGTTCGTATAGATCGTTTTTACATTCATAAACGGTCGTTTGATTGAGTTTTATGTTTGACATGTTTGAAGAACCAAGAATCATAAACCAGGAAATTGTTGTTAAAACTAAAATTAATGACTCTAAAATGATCTGTGAACATTGGGGAACATTCCTATATAATTTAATTGAAGTTTGGTAATTAAAAATGATAATGTTAAAAATTGAACAGAGGAAGAAGATGATGAACAAGGACCGAAAATCGATTATTTCCTTCCTAATAATCGATTAAAAATTTGTTCAGATAGTCAGTATATTTAAAAATAATAATAATCGATTATTTTAATCATAAAAAACGATTTAACGTTATTAATCGATTATTTTAATTATAAAAATCGATTTTTAAGTATTAATTGATTATTTTAAATATAAAAATCGATTTTTAGTAATTAATGGATTATTTAAAATATAAAAATCGATTTTTAGTAATTAATTGATTATTTAAAATATAAAAATCGATTTTTAGCAATTAATTGATTAATTAAAATATAAAAATCGATTTTTAGCAATTAATTGATTATTCAAAATATAAAAATCGAGTTTTAGCAATTAATTGATTATTTAAAATATAAAAATCGATTTTTAGCTATTAATGAATTATTTTAAATATAAAAATCAATTTTTAGGTATTAATTGATTATTTTTAAAAATAAAAATTGATTTTTCTTAAGTCCAGATCCTGTTCCGAAAATATTCGGAAAATATATACTCTAAAATCCACCAATTGATTATGATCATTGGAAAAATGATTTAACATAACAAAAATGATGTTTTTAACAAATAAAAATGTTATGTGATGCATGACGGTAAGTTAGGGTGTTAACACCCGAAGCTAGGCCGCTAATTGTTATTGAATATTATGTTGATTGATGATTATGGTAATGGTTATTGATTGATTATTATGATGATTGAATCTTGATGAATATTCTGATTAAAAATGTTAATTGTGAATGATTAAATCATAATGAATATATTGAGGATTGTGAAAATAAAATGTATTGTTAAGGGTATCTAGAAGACCTCTAAGATATATCCATATTAATGTTGATTTGAAAGGTATCTAGAAGACCTCTAAGATATACCTATTTAAGTTAGGCCTTGCGGGTATGAACACCGGTGGCTAGGGTTAAAACGTACGTACGGGACCCAAGAACCAAACTTGAGTACCTACTCGTTTGGGGGTACCACCCACCCAACAGTGAACACTACGCTGTCGGTTTTTGGTTGGCCTTAAGTGAAGGTAAGTTTAAGATTTTCAAAACCCTTTTATCTTAAACTAGGCCTAGCTTATTTAGGAATATTTTGTACTGGAATATAGTTTAATTATTTAAACTAGAATTCGTTTAAGGGTTGACAAATATTAAAGTGATTGGCCTTAGACTAAGAATTGTTTAAGGATATTGTTGAATGTTGAATATTGAATATTGAATATGAGTAAATATTGAATGATGAATATTGAATTGAATATTGCAATTATTATGATTGACTGATGAACATTGAATGTGAATATAAATGTTGAATAATGCATGATGAATATTTTTTAATAATTATTGATTATCTGAACTGAACATTATGTGCATGATATCAAATGATTTGATTACGAATTTAGATTCAGTTTATATGGATGTTCGATGCATTAGATATGCTTACTCAGCCTCAACGCTAAGCGTGTAGTATGTTTTATTTGCTACACGCAGGTTAATGAAGTGACGTTATCCTGGAGGCAGGCGAAGGCGAGATTGTCGGAATGGATGTGATGGTTTTGAATTAAATAACATAAATAAATTACGTTTGTGATTATGATTGTTAAGCTTCCGCAATATTGAAAACTTCGTACTGTTTATATTATGAAAAATATTATTGTGATAAATAAAAGTGTTTGAAATGTTTTAAATTTTTACGATTACCAAGTTAATACTTTAATCTGAAAGGGGCTGCAGACCTGGACAGATTAGGGTGTTACATTCATTGTTCTTCCCGGAGGAGTTGACACTATGGAAGGTTTGTTTACCTTGATCTCGTGGGCTTCTAAAGGGTTACACAATAGACCCATTGGTCTCTTGAACATTGGCGGTTATTTCAATAACCTAATCAAATTTCTAGACGATGCGGTGAGGCAGAACTTTATATCTTTGAGTCAGAGGAAACTTTTCATTTCTTCTTTCTTTGTTAATGAGATTTTAGACAAACTAGAGTTTGCTAAAGCTTTTCGGATCGAAACTTGATTTAAAAAAAAATATTCAATCACATCCATGACTCTCGCATCCCTCTGCTCCAGGAAAGGTATGAGAAATTACTTGGTAAATAGACTCTAATAGAACTTTCGTACTCGGTGAAGAGACGAAAGAATAAATAAAAAAAAATTATGACTCCCTCATACGTTATCAACATACTTATCGCATCGCGAATTACGAAACTGATCGTCCTTGTAAAGGCGCTTAGAAGTGAGACGACTATGAAGAAACAATTAATGTTGAATAACATCTGTGAAACTACTGTTAAAGATCCTCATCTGGACTGAAGACGATTGGATCGCTGATTCAAACACGAACGTTTAGAATCCATAAACTCTTTTGTCTAAAATGGTCCCATTATGATGTCTAACTCAATACGACGCAAATATGCGATTATATCGTACGAATCGAAATCGTTCGTTATGCAACAATTCCTTGCAAAACCTCGTCAAAATACCATACAAGGAAATTGATGTTATCCTTAGTATGCATTGGCTGACTGAACATTGTAGCTGTTGACAACTTGTGATGAAGAATTCCTCAACTGAAGACCGATGATGGTAAACTCATAGAGGTGAAAGCAAATCTGATATCTAAACCAACCGAGTTCATCTTTTCATATATATATATATATATATATATATATATATATATATGTATATATATATATATGTATATATATATATATGTATATATATATATATATATATATATATATATATGCCAATGCCCTTTGGTTCCACGGTTGAGTAATCTCCAACTGGGGCACCCCTTCCACCGGCAGAAATTTTTAAGATGGAGATCTGTGAATGAGTTGAGGAATTCCAATGGCGAACAATATCAGAGGCCATTATAATAGGACCCGAAGGGCATTTCCTCATTCAATTGCTCTCTATAGTTTCCTTCTTTTTGCTTTATGGGTCTTCATATTTACTTTTAACAGCAGAGAAATCTTTGAGGATGCCCAGAAACCTCTCTTTTTATTGGAGCCCGAGCAGAAGGAAGCTGGACATCTATGGGGGGCTCCTTATAGCAATAGTTTACAACCTTGTGTCAAACCTTCTGTTAAATATAAAGCTACAAATGGATGGGATAAGTACATGACTGTTAAAAGTAACGGGGGTTTAAATCAGATGCGCACCGGTATAGCTGATATGGTTGCTGTGGCGCATATGATGAATGCAACTATGGTGATCCCTCAGTTGGATAAGCGTTCGTTCTGGCAGGATTCGAGTATTTTCTCAGATATATTTGATGAAAATCATTTCATCAAAATGTTACATGGAGATGTCAGAATTATTAGGACGCTTCCAAGAGAATTAGAATCTGTGCATAGAGCAAGGAAGCACTTCACATCTTGATCCAGCAAGGGCTATTATACTGAGATGAAGCAATTATGGAAGGAAAATCAGGTCATTCATGTTGCTAAATCCGATTCTCGACTTGCAAACAATGATCTGCCTCTTGACATTCAAAGACTAAGATGTCGTGCTTTATACCATGCTCTCCGCTTTTCTCCTCCCATTTAGAGCCTTGGAAAGAAGATTGTGGAACGGTTGAGGTTACGAGCTTCAAGGTACATTGCACTTCATTTGCGGTACGAAAAGGACATGATGCCTTTTACAGGCTGTACTTACGGCCTTGCTGATAAAGAAGCTGAAGAACTTAGAGTAATGAGGGAGAATACAAATCATTGGAAGATGAAGAATATCAATTCCAGTGAGCAGAGAATTGGCGGTTTATGTCCTCTTACGCCCAAGGAGGTTGGGATATTTCTTCAAGCTCTTGGTTATCCTATGTCAACATTGATTTATATCGCTGCTGGAGAAATCTATGGTGGTAACACACACCTTTTAGAGCTAACATCCCGCTTTCCAAATGTAGTTTCAAAGGAAATGCTTGCAACCACAGAGGAACTAAGACAATTTTCCAAACACGCATCTCAAAGTGCAGCAATTGACTATATTATCTCTATTGAGAGTGATGTTTTCATTCCATCACATTCTGGTAATATGGCAAGAACAGTGGAGGGGCATCGCAGATTCCTAGGCCACCGCAAGACAATCACTCCTGATAGGAAAGGCCTTGTGGAAATATTTGATCAGTTGGAAGCTGGACGTCTTAAAGAAGGGCCGTTTTTATCACATCTTGTGATCACATTGCACAAGAACAGACAAGGTGCTCCTAGAAAGAGAAAAGGTGCCCCCGAAGGTATCAAAGGTCGGGCACGCTTCAGGTTCGAAGAACCTTTTTACCAGAACCCATACCCTGAATGCATATGTGCTCCCAAGATGACTCCAAGCTGAGGGAGGGAGGCCATGGATTCTCCCACTCTCTCTTCAACTTACCAGAAATAAATAATTCATTGTTTCTTATATTTAAAAAAAACCAAGAAACACAAAACCATCTTAATGTTGCTTCTTTGTATATCTCAGTTTCTGAATATTCTTCTCCCTTTACTAAATTGTTACTTGCTTTTTGTTTTTGCACAAATATATATATATATATATATATATATATATATATATATATATATATATATATATATATTTGAAAACATCTCAGCCATAACAAGTGTGAAGTCTACGCGAAAAGAAACATCTGAACATGAAGTAACGTACCGAAAGTATGTCACCTCTCTTATTAGAATTTCCTAATATTTCACCGTTCCGAGAAATTGAATTCTCTGTCAATCTTGATCCTAGAAAGGACCAATATTCGTAACTCTGTATTGATCGTGTTTCCATCAATGACTTCCTGACAAAGAATCACCTGATCAAGTGTTTCCTCCTTGGGAGAATACCTATTTTGTTCATACGCGAATCAATGAGACTCTATATCAACTACTGTCAGTTGAACAATTCATTCTCCTTTACCTCGTATCATGACTTATTTGATCAGTTTAGAGAATCCATTTTATTCTCTAAGATTGACTTACGGTCAGGATACCCAAAAATCCCTATCAAGAAACTTGAACAAACTGACGACCAAGAATCGCTGTCCTTTACAATGAACTGACGAGTTGTTCGATCAAATTCAAGGAACCCGTTTGTTAGAAGCTATAGACAGCTCGACCTTGTTGAATGAACGGATGCCTTGTTATAATAACTTAATTGCTTATCGTCGAAAACATTAGTGAAATAATGTGATGCTGACAAGGCAAATAGTTAAGAAAATTGACTCGTTCGTATANGAGGAATGTTACAAATGCAATTCTAAGTCTAATCTCCCAGGATTCACAAACTCATCATAACTAACCCCAGGTCCCGGGAAAGCTTTAGCAAACTCTAGTTTGTCTAAAAGCTCGTCAACAGAGAAAGAAGAAATAAAAAGTTTCCTCTGACTGGAAGCCATGAAGTTCTGCCTCACCGCATCGTCTAAGAATTTGAGAAGGTTATTGAAATAACCGTCAATGTTTAAAAGACCAATGGGTCTATTGTGTAACCCTTCAGAAGCCCACGAGATCAAGGTGAACAAACCTTCCATAGTGTCAACTCCTCCGGGAAGAACGATGAAAGCTTCCACAGCATGATTCATCTCAAAATATTTGTAGTAATTGCTGGAAACTGTGTGCTCTATGCCATATGTAGGTCCGTAGACCCGTCGTGTTGCTATGTACCCAGGAATGAAACCTCTAACGAGACCACCAGTGTTGAAGACTATTGAAGCAACAGCTCCTTGTAGGCCAACATTGCCTCCTCCATAAGCAAGACTAATTCTTCGCCTTATCAATTCTCTTCCTAAATCTACTGCAGTAGCCATAAACTTTGGATTTTTACCAAGAGAATGACTGCCAAGTAAACCAACAAATCTTATGGTGTAAGGAAGTGTTCGAGAAGTTCCTTCCATAATATGAGAATGTGAGATACTCTTTTCATAATTGTGATATATATAGTCTCTGAAACCTGACCATTGATGGAAATGTAATTATCAATAGCCAAAATACGTACAGTAATATGGAATCGATTTACCTATAGACGAGAACGCATTCGCCAATACTACAGTCTGCTGACGATATGACATATTGAGACTCTTGAACAGTTAGATTTGCTATCCTGAAACATGTTCAAATCCGAGACGAAAAGTCAGAATGGCTATTTCCTAAGACAACGACCTCTTGAGTAATTTCCACAGAGTGAAACATTTGAAGGATGAAAATCTACGATTAGTAACGATAATTTGCAAACGTTATGTTTGTAGCTTGTGACTCACATCCTTGAATGACTCGACTTGCTGTGTTAACTACACCCTTGAAATACCTCTCTTGATCGATCTTGAATTCCATTCTTTGTATCAAAATAATAAAACCACGATTCTTCATTAAACGAAAAGATGTTTTATGATACCGATCTTTGAAAACTATACCTTGTGGAATACATGACTCGATCACAATAGTAAAACTACCTTGACTTGAACATTATGTTGAACCTCTCTTTGTGGACCACAATACAATCAATACAATTACGTTATCTCTGAAGATTATTATCGATGATCTTATTGACCAAACAAACTCCGTTATAACCCTAGCAAGGATATGTGTGTGCAACAACCAGAGAAGAAATGACATCACGAGAACAAGCTGAATCATTCAAGCAAAAATCCCTAACCTATATGCAATGTTGGTGTTAGAACTTGTAAAGATCCCTCACTCTATGAATTCATGAATTGAATCGCGTACTGAAGATATTCTCTTCTTCCCTTGAAACAAGATCAGCCATAGTGCTACAATCGAATTTGTCGCTATCATATCTAGATATGGTTTCAAATTAATAGAAGAAGTTTAAATACGACAAGTCGTACATGAGACGCTACTCAAACGTCATCACCTATGAATACAATGTAACGCCCCGAAATCTGGCCCAAAAGAATTAATTAAATTGTTAGAGCAATTGATTACGAATTGGGCCTAAAAAGGGGTTAAAATTATAATTTGGATTTTAAGCCCAACTTTTATGTCATCTCGTAGGAAATATTTTTGTGATTGCGTCGGTTCAGACGGCTCGCGAATCGGAGTTATGGAGCTCATGTTATGACTATTTAATCAGGTATTTTGGGTCCGAAGCCGAATCCTTTTTGGAATGGGACCATTAAATAAACCTAAACCTAAACCACACAAACCTTATCTTCTTCGTTCGTCCTTCTTCTTCTTCTTCTTCTTCTTCTTCTTCTTCTTCTTCTTCTTCTTCTTCTTCTTCTTCTTCTTCTTCTTCTTCTTCTTCTTCTTCTTCTTCTTCTTCTTCTTCTTCTTCTTCTTCTTCTTCTTCTTTCTTCTTCGTCTTCCCCAGCCACCATCGCCTCCGTGAGCCAGCCGCCGGTCGTCCTCCCTGCTGATCGACCTCCGCCTCCAACGCCGCGCCTCGCCACTGGACGTCGCCTCCCCTACCGGCGGCCACCATCATCGCCGTCGAGTCCAATCGACGCCGCTGCTTTCTTTGTCGGTCGTCCGCCGCCGTCGAGTTGCAGCGCCGCCGGTCGCCCTTCCCCAGCCAGTCGCCGCCGCTGCTTCCTTCGCCAGTAGCCGCCGCCCTCATCGCCGACGAATTGCAGCGCCGCCACGCCGAGCGCCGGACGTCGCCTCCACTGCCGGCGTCCTTCCTCGCCGACGAATTGCAGTGCCGCCAGTCGCTGCTTCTCGCCGTCGAGTTGCCGCTCCGCCACTATCGCCGGCGTCCGTCACCGTCGCCGCATCCAGCCGCTGCCCCGAGTTGATATCGCCGGCAGATTAACCTCCACGCCGGATTGATTGGTCCATTTCATATTTTGACTCGATTTGACCCGTTCGTTTGATTTTGTTGATTTGTATTCCGTTCGAGCTATTGATTCGATTTTGGCGTAATCCAGGTCCGTACTATGAAGTTAATAGCATTTAGAATAGATTTAATGGTTTGGATCGTTATATGTGTTTATGCTATAATTTGGCTAAATTGGTTAATTGAATTAAATTGGTTATTTGAATTGAATTGTTGAGGATTGTGAATTGACTGAACAGGTTTGACTTTGACTCGGGTTAGGTCACGTTTGACTTAGGCTTTGACTGGATATTCTGTGGACGTAGGTTTGACCGAATGGTTAAATCCAAGACTTTAATGAATTAGTTAGGTTAATTAATTAATTCTAATCGGTGATTAAGGTCAATTGGTTTATTATGTCGAACATAGAAACTGGCCATTGCTCGGGCGGCTGCAGGGCCTGGTCAGTGAGGTTAAGGCGTGCGCACGAGGGTCTGTGATCTTGGGTTTAAGGCTATCGCCCGAGGGATCCTACCTCCACCGAATTGAGGCTATCTTCGGTATTACGGATTGAGGCTATCTCCGTCATAGGCATTAAATGTTAAGTGGTTTGACTTTGGTGAAAGTCTAAATTGGTTTGACCAGTGGTCAAAGAGTTAATGAGAAACCCGTAACACCTAAATCGTTTTGAAAAGAAAGAAAATAAGTTGACTGGTTGTCAACCGTCTAAAGAACCGAATTTAAAGTCGAATTGATTTTTATCAAAAGGATAAACATATGCAAGATCTCAATTGTTGAATTATTATGTTTATTCTTGTGCTACAATGGAGTGCCACTCAGCGTCAATGCTGAGCGGATAGTGTTGTTTTCCTTTTTGCTGTCCGTAGGTGATCAGGCAGATGAACCTAGAGCCGATCCCAGAGGGCATTGAGGAGGAGATGTACGATGGCGTGGCTGTCTCTTTAATCTGTTGATTATGCTTTATTTAATTAACTTTAATGCTTATTCCGTTTTTGGGCAAGATCCCAAGTTGTTTGACTTTAAAAAGGCTTCCGCATTATTTTAAATTACTCCGATGGATTTTTATATGTATTGATAGAACGTTTGTTTAAAATTGTTTTGAAAATGTTGTATATTCGGATACCAATTCAGTGGCACACCGGTCCGCTATCTCACGAGTTTGGGTTACGCGGGTTGGGTGTTACATACGAAGACTCATTAAACGATAAATGAGCGCTACCATGAAGTGAATGAAGAAATGTTTCGATGTAAATCGATGATAACAAGCTACTGTACAATCAATCGAAAGTACTTCCTTATAAATGATGACAAATCCCATATTCTGAACCGATGAAAGCCATTTAATGTTATTTACGAGTCATTGATGGACTATGTGAACGATGTGAAGATGTTTTGAAACAAACTCTAAATCCCGAACTATACCTATCGTGAAGGTGATGATTCGAAACTACAAAGGCTATTGAAGAACTTTCAATCAAAGAAGGAATGTTGTTGAATAATGACGAACAATCGAGACTTGTGAATGAACGAAGTGATGTGCAAATATGTTAAATATGCTCCAAAATACGATGTTATACCCTGCAAAGGAACCCAAGTTATGGATGTTGAATTTGAACAGGAACCCACAAAAGGATTGTTGGATACCTTGCTTAATCTAAGATTATTAACCTCTTGAAGAAAGAACGAGTTTGATAACATCGACAGTTTGAGATTACAAGGATAATGACAAAATTATGGTTTAACCCATTGAGCATGACACGGTCATGATTAAGTGNTTGGGCTTTGGGCTGAAATAAAATATATATTGATATCCAATAAACATAATTGGGATAAATCTCATAGAGATAAATCCAACATGTTGATTTATTGTGTGATCTTGATTGGGAACCTGAGTACAGACCCAAATTAAGAATAAATGAAGAAATTGTTTATAATGTGAACTTTGAAATGATTTATTGAAATAAATCATGGAAATAAATAATATGAATTAAATGTGAGAACCTTTTTGAATAAAGGTCAATTAAACCAATTTTGACTCTGTCAAAGTCAACCACCCAAAAATATGATGTCGGAAAAAGTATAACGAATAAATATAAAAGTTATATCGTTAGATAGAGTTTAACTGTCTGATCGCAATGGTGCAATCGGATTTCAATTCGGAGAAAGTTGGACCAAAAAGTGTTCCCCGACTGGGACCAAATTAGTCCCAATCAAGGACTTGCTTCTGGAAATCCTAGCAATCGCCGCTCCCTCCACCGAGACGCCAGAATGGGGAAACGGATGTCACCAAACCTGTGTCTTCTTCCTCTCCTCCCCACTATATATATCTCTCTAAACATACCATTTTCACCATTCTTATTCCAATAAATAGCTGAGAGTCTAGAGAATGAAGTAGTGCTGTCAAGAGAGCTTTTCATCGCCGGAGATAGCCACAATCCTCGACGGAAGTTTCGCCGGAAAATCTTCAAAACCTCCATTACACTTCGAGGTAAGCCCGTAGATATATCTAATGATTAGAATGTTCGTATAGATCGTTTTTACATTCATAAATGGTCGTTTGATTGAGTTTTATGTTTGACATGTTTGAAGAACCAAGAATCATAAACCAGGAAATTGTTGTTAAAACTAAAATTAATGACTCTAAAATGATCTGTGAACATTGGGGAACATTCCTATATAATTTAATTGAAGTTTGGTAATTAAAAATGATAATGTTAAAAATTGAACAGAGGAAGAAGATGATGAACAGTGGCCGAATGTTGAATATTGAATATTGAATATGAGTAAATATTGAATGATGAATATTGAATTGAATATTGCAATTATTATGAATGACTGATGAACATTGAATGTGAATATAAATGTTGAATAATGCATGATGAATAATTTTTAATAATTATTGATTATCTGAAGTGAACATTATGTGCATGATATCAAATGATTTGATTATGAATTTAGATTCAGTTTATATGGATGTTCGATGCATTAGATATGCTTACTCAGCTTCAACGCTGAGCGTGTAGTATGTTTTATTTGCTACACGCAGGTTAATGAAGTGACGTTATCCTGGAGGCAGACGGAGGCGAGATTGTCGGAATGGATGTGATGGTTTTGAATTAAAGAACATAAATAAATTACGTTTATGATTATGATTGTTAAGCTTCCGCAATATTGAAAACTGCGTACTGTTTATATTATGAAAAATATTATTGTGATAAATAAAAATGTTTGAAATATTTTAAATTTTTACGATTACCAAGTTAATACTTTAATCTGAAAGGGGCTGCAGACCTGGACAGATTAGGGTGTTACATTCATTGTTCTTCCTGGAGGAGTTGACACTATGGAAGGTTTGTTTACCTTGATCTCGTGAGCTTCTAAAGGGTTACACAATAGACCCATTGGTCTCTTGAACATTGACGGTTATTTCAATAACCTAATCAAATTTCTAGACGATGCGGTGAGGCAGAACTTTATGTCTTTGAGTCAGAGGAAACTTTTCATTTCTTCTTTCTTTGTTAATGAGATTTTAGACAAACTAGAGTTTGCTAAAGCTTTCCCGGGACCTGGGGTTAGTTACGATGAGTTTGTGAATCCCGGAGGACTAGACTTGGAATCGCATTTATAACTTTCTTCACGTAATCCAAGTTGTATTTTGTGTTTAAATAATATTATGTTACACGAGTCAATCGATTTGTCTAGTCAGCATCACTATGTTACACGTCACTTATTCACGTTAAACGAGTCAATCGATTTGTCTAGTCAGCATCACTATGTTACACTTAGTCAATTCAGACTACATCGACGTTTTTGACGATAAACAACTAAATCATTAGTCACTTCATAGCAAGGCATCCGTTCATTCAACAAGGTCGAGATGACTATAGCTTTTAACAAACAGGTTCTTCGAACAAATCATCTATACGTAGTAAAGGGTAGCGATTTTCGATCGTCAGTTTGTTCATCATTCTTAACAGGGATGTGATAGTATCTTGACCGTAAGTCAATCTTAGAGAATACAAATATACAATGGATCCTCTAAGCTGATCAAATAAGTCATGATACAAAGTAAAGGAGAACGAATTGTTCAACTGATAGTAGTTGATATAGAGTCTCATTGATTCGCGTATAAACAAAACAGGAATTCTCCCAAGGATGAAACACTTTATCAGATGATTCTTTGTCAGGCAATCTTCATAATTGAGTTTTTCAGTTTTGACGGAAACACATTCAATACGGAGTTACGAATATTGGTCCTTTCTGGGATAAAGATTGACAAAAAATTCAATTTCTCGGAACGATGAGATATCACGAAGTTCATATCAGAGAGGTGACATACTTTCGGTATGTTTCTTCAGCTCAGATCTTTCTTCCGCGTATCATTGAGGCATTTTTGCATATATATTCGAGGTGAACTCGGTCGGTTTTAGAAATCAGATTTGCTTTCACCTCTATGAGGTACCATCATCGGTCTTCAGTCGAGGAATTCTTCATCACAAGTTGTCAACAACAACGGCGTTCAGTCAGTCAGTGCATACTAAGGATAATGTCGATTTCCTTGTATGGTACTTCAACGAGGTTTTGTAAGGAATTGTCGTTTAACGAACAATTTCGATTCATAAGATGTAATCACATCTTTGCGTCGTAAAGTGTTAGACATTAGAACAGGATACTTTAGATAACAGAGTTTATTGATTCTAAATGTTCGTGTTTAAATCAACGAACAGATCATCTTGAGTCCACATGAGGATCTTTGACATCGGCTTCACAGATGTTGTTCAACATAAATCATTTCTTCAGAGTCATCTCACTTTCATGCGACTTCGCGATGCAGATCAGTTTCGTCCTTCGCAATGCGATGCGTACGTTAATAACATATCAGAGGGTCATATATTTTTCATTCATTCTTGCGTCTCTTCACCGAGTACGAAAGTTCTACTAGAGTCTATGCTCGATACGATTTCAGTACTAATCAATTATTATTCAATGAGAATTCTAACACAGTAAATATTTACCAAGTAATTTCTCATACCTTTCCTGGAGCAGAGAGATGCGAGAGTCGTGGATGTGATTGATTTTTTTTTAATATCAAATTTTGATCCGAAGATCGGTTTTAAAACCATTTGCTCCGATACCAAAATGTAACACCCTAATCCGTCCAGGTCTGCAGCCCCTTTTGGGCTAAAGTATTAACTTGGTAATCGTAAAATTTAAAACTTTTCAAACACTTTTATTTATCACGATAATTGTAACGCCCCAAAATATACCCTAGAATTATTAATGAATAATTATTCAATTAATCAAATTTGTTTTGATTAAAATAAATTGTTGTTGGGCTTTGGGCCGAAATAAAACATATATTGATATCCAATATCACAATCTGGATAAATCTCATATTGATAAATCTAATATGTTGACTTACTGTATGATCTTAATTTGGGGAACTAGAGTATAGACCCAAATTAGGGATTTGTTTATAATGTGAACTTTGAAATGATTTATTGAAATAAATCATGAAAATAAATAACATGAATTAAATATATGAATTTTATTGATCAAAGGTCAATTAAATGAATTTTGACTCTGTCAAAGTCAACCACCCAAAAATATGATGTCAGAAAAAGTATTACAAATAAATATGAAAATTATATCATTATGTAGAGTTTGACTGTCTGACCCCAACGGTTCAATCGGATTTCAGTTCGGAGAAAGTTGGACCAAAAAGTGTACCCCGATTGGAACCAAAATTGGTCCTAATTAGGGACACTGTGCGAACGGCGCCTCCCAGCGCACTAGACGATCACAGGATCATGGAAATGACGATGCAACCTGTCTTCTTCCCCTCTTCAACCCCTATATAAGGGAGAGCTCATTTCCCATTTTCTACACCATTCTTTCTACAATTTAGTTTAATAGAATCTTGTGAGTGATGGGCATAATCTGATAGTATTAGTTGTCGTCGAGTTCGCCGAAGCAAGACGTGGTGCTCGCTGGAAGTTTTGCCGGAAAATCTTCAAAACCTCCATTACACTTCGAGGTAAGCCCGTAGATATATCTAGTGACTAGAATGTTCATATAGATCATTTCTACGTTCATAAACGGTCGTTTGGTTGAGTTTTGTGTTTGACATGTTTGAAGAACCAAGAATCATAAACCATGAAATTGTTGTTAAAATTACGAATTAATGACTCTAAAATGATCTCTGAACATTGGAGAACATTTTTATATAATTAAATTGAAGTTTGGTGATTAAAAAATGATAATGTTAAAAGTGACTCGAGGAAGAAGACGATGAACAGTGGTCGAAAATTGATTATTTACTTACTAAAAATCGATTAGAATTTTATTCAGATCAGTGGTTCGAAGTCAGTACCATTTAATCGATTATTTATATTGTAAAAATTGATTATTATGAATTAATTGATTATTTAAATTGTAAAAATCGATTATTATGAATTCATTGATTATTTAAATTGTAAAAATCGATTATTATGAATTAATGGATTATTTAAATTGTAGAAATCGATTATTATGAATTAATGGATTATTTAAATTGTAAAAATCGATTTTTTATATGAATTAATCGATTAATTATAGTGGAAAAATCGATTATAATGAATTTATTGATTATTTAAATTGTAAAAATCGATTATAATGAATTAATTGATTATTTAAATTGTAAAAATCAATTATTATGAATTAATGGATTATATAAATCAATTTTTATAAATTAATTGATTATTTTAAATGATTTTCCTCAATTCAAGATGAAAATGTTCCTAAAAATATGCTCTAAAATCCTATTTTTGATGCCAATTAATTATGCACAATATAAATATGATTTTGTACAATAAAAATGATGTTGGTGACATATAAACATTATATGATGCATGACGGTAAGTTCGGGTGTTAACACTCGAGACTAGACCGCTATTTGTTATTATGCATTATGACGATTATTTGATTATTGATTAGAATGAATTAATGATGAACGTTTTGAATAATGATCATGAATTGTTAAAGTGAAAATAATGAATTAATGAATCGTATTGTTAAGGATATCTAGAACAACTCTAAGATATACCTACTTGACCAATTCATATTTCGGGTTAAAACGTACGTACGGGATCCAGACCGGATATCACCCACCCGACAAATCATTGTTCGGTTGGTACGTAATCCACATGACTCATAGGGTGGATTATCGATTCTTGTGTTCTGCATTAAACTATTTATAGTTTAAGAGCCTGGTTAGAATTACTGCCTTAGACTAAGAATAGCTAATAGCTGAATATAAAATGATGTGGCCTTAGATTAAGAATAATTTAAGAGCATTATTGATATATTGAATATCAAATGACTTGGAATAAAATATTCAAAATATTATGAATGTTTGAACCATATATTGAGTGCATGATATCAAATGGTTGATTATGAATTGAGATTCAATTTATGTGGATGTTCGACGCTTTAGATATGCTTACACAGCTTCACCGCTGAGCGTGTAGTGTGTTTTATTTGCTACACGCAAGTAAACAGAAAGATTAATGTGATCCTGGCGGTAGATGGGGAGAGATTGTCAGGATGGATGTGACAAGTTTTGAAATAATTTATGATATGTCAATATTAAATTCGCTTCCGCAATATTGTTAAATACTCCGTACTATATATGTTATGAAAAATATTATTGGGATTAATAAAGTGTGTTTGAAAAGTTTTAAATTTTACGATTACCAAGTTAAATACTTTAGTCCGAATGGGGCTGCAGACCTGGACGGATTAGGGTGTTACAATAATATTTTTCGTAACATATACAGTGCAGAGTTTTCAATATTGCGGAAGCTTAACAAATCATAATTACAAACATAATTTGTTTATGTTCTTTAATTCAAAACCATCACATACATTCCGACAATCTCGCCTCCATCTGCCTCCAGAATCACGTCACATCATTCTTTCTATTAACCTACGTGTAGCAAATAAGACATACTACACGCTCAGCGGTGAAGCTGAGTAAGCATATCTAATGCGTCGAACATCCATATAAATTGAATCCAAATTCATAATCAAATCATTTGATATCATGCACAAAGTATTCAGTTCAAATATACAATAATCAATTTTCAACATTCGTCATTCAATATTCATATTCAACATTCAACATCCTCATTCAATAATATCCTTAACCTATTCTTAGTCTAAGGCCAATCTATTTGATGTTTACCAACTCTTAAACGAATTCTAGTTTAAGATATTTAAAGTATATTCGTGTTTAAGGTACTCTTAACTAACCCTTAAGCTAGGCCTAGTTTAAGATACAAATTTTCAAAAAGAGGTTTTCAAAATCTTAAACTTACCTTCGCTTAAGGTCATCCAGAAACCGAACAGCGGAATGCTCACTGTCGGGTTGGGTGGTATCCCCAAACGAGTTCCTCTAGTTTGGTTTGTAGATCCCGTACGTACGTTTTAACCCAGGCCACCGAATATTCATAATTATACCCGCAAGGCCTATTTCTAAGCCATCTTAGAGGTCTTCTAGATAGTC